GATCCTCGCTTCGCAGCCATGACATGCCCAAGATCATGTCGAATTTGGTGTCCAGAATGTCAAAGGACACCGCCTCACTTGCGTGAAGGGCAAAGTACACTGGGACGTTGTCAATGCACCAGCCGATTGACTTGTGCGTGTGACCGTCCGCCAGTGTGACTTGCGTGGGTTGGGACTTCCTTCGGACTCGTGGGCCAAGGCCGGCGCGTACCATGAAGTCCTGACTCATATAGTTGCGAGATGCTCTGCAATCAATCAAAGCGCTGCAGGTCACCTCTCCGATCTGAATGCGTACATATAGCAATGGTGCGTCGATGTCGTCGTACCGTTGCGTCTTGAACTCGCGGTCGATCTTCGCAATGTAGGCGTGAAGGTCGACAACCTCTACTCCAGCGTCCATCAACGGAGTCGGTACTGCAGTGTGCAAGTAATCTCGCAATTGTGCCTTGAGCACGTTGCAATGCGGTTTCGGCAATTGACCGGACCGGGGCAGGGGCATCCATTGGAAGTCCTCAAAAGTCAACGGGTCGAACTCCTCAAGTCTTGACCATGACGTTGAATCCCCGGTGGTAGATGACGGCGAAGCTGCCGAATCGGTTGCCGATGGTGATGAAACCGTGCATGCGGTAGAGTGTTGCACGTGGAGCGGTTGGTCCAGCGGTGGGACCAAGTGGACAACATAATCCTCGTAACTGTACCAAGGACTTGCGGCATGCGCATCCTCCCCAGATGTGTAGGAGGCCGCTAGCAAGGCGGCCGAATCTGGCGGAGTGAGAGGTGGAGTCGCCTCACCTCCTACGCAACTCAGTTTCCCGAGTTAAGACGAGGCCGCACATCCTCCTTGGCCTGATCCTGGCAAATGGAGGTCTTGTGCTTGGTGCTGTGCACCAGTAACAGCAGCCGTAATGGTTGCGGTACTTGAACTCGGCCTTGGTCAAGCCGAACTTGACCCATGGTGGTGCTGGCTGTCCGTTTCCGGCCTGCGATGCTGGTTTCGCCTTCCCGTTCACTCGGGGTTTGTTGCTTCGCGGCTGGACAGCAGCCACCTGATCTCCCTCACGTGATGCTGGAGTGGCTGCTGGGTCTTCTCCACTGTCCGATTGGACTGCAGCGAACTGCTGCTGTCGCGGACCAGTTCTCACCTTCTCCACATAGGTTGGCTGCCATGTTGACTTCTCGTGCGCAACTGACCTGTTGGTCTTGATGATCTCCCTTGACTTATCAATGATCTCAGCGAAGGTGGTGTATTGCTCGCGATCACCAAGTGCCTGGCTCAGTGCAGCACATGACCTGTTGTAGAACTCACGGCGTAGATGCGTGAAAGGTAAGTCCAGATCGGGCACTGCCGCGATCTTCTGCCATTCCGTGAGCCAGTCCCATGTTGCTGTGTTGCCCTGAGACATGGTGAAGAGACGGTTGATGGCTAGTGCTCGAGCGTCGTCGACGATGAACCGCTTCTTCCACAGCCGTGTTAACTCTTCCCATGTGATCTTGTCCTTCAGATCTGCGACGTCGACGCCATGGGTGGCTGCCAGGTGGGTTAACCAGATCTGGCATCCGCCCTTTGAGTTCATGAACAGGGCGCCGATGTACGCGTGCTTGGCGACAAGCAGAATCTGAAGTTGCGTCGTGAATGCTTCCCACCAGAGCACCGGGTCCTGATGTGTGTAGTCGTCGAACTTCTCCAGTTGAAAGGTTGGCATCTTGTATTGCTTAGGATTGTTGCCATCCGTGTTCGTCGAATGCAGTTGCTGGAACTCGGTCTTCAAAGTGTCCAGCTGATTGCTGATGGTGGTCCTCGCAGCAAAGGTGCTGATGTCGCCGAGCATTGCGAGGACGTGGTCGACGCGTTCCTCCAGTTGGCGGCTAGAGGGTGCACTGCTGGAATCCCCAACATCTGGTCCTGGTACAGCCTGTTCCAGGTCCAGCACACGGGAATTGAGTGCCCATGTTGCATCCTCGTGGCTCTGCACCATCCGGCGGAGGTTCGCCAACTCCTGGTGCTGTGTCTTCAGATCCTGGTACTGTTGCTCTAACTCGGACCGTTGGTAGTTGCAAGCACACAGCAACCGTGTCACGAGTTTGGAGAGGAACTCCTTATGCTGCTCTTCCGGTGTTGCGTCGTCGCCGTTCGGTTCAAAGTGCCAGAACTTGAGTCTCTCGATGTTGTTGGCTTCATGCCGCTGCAGCAGATCCTGGGCTTCCTTGCGGCGAGCCTTGGCATCTGCATCTGCTTCGGCCTGTAGCCGCAAATTCTCTGCTGTTGCCGCTTCTTCAGCCTGTAGGCGGGCAGCCGCGGCTGCCAGCTGGCGTTGTTCCTCAGCCTCGATGAAAGCGAGCTGAGCCTGGAAGCGCTTTTTGTAGTTGGCAATAGGCTCATTGGCCAGTTGGCCTGGCAGGCCCATTGCTGGACCCGCCATGCTGACGTGGCATTGTGACTGACGTGGCACTACTTACGTGGCACTGTGTCTGACGTGGCACTGCTGACGTGGCACTACTGACGTGGCACTGTGTCTGACGTGGCACTGCTGACGTGGCACTGTGTCTGACATGGCACTGTGTCTGATGTGGCACGGCACTGTCTGACGTGGCACTGCTGACGTGGCACTGCTGACGTGACACTGTCTAACGTGGCACTGTCTAACGTGGCACTGCTGACGTGGCACTGCTGACGTGGCACTGCTGACGTGGCACTGCTGACATGGCACTGCTGACGTGGCACTGCTGAC